CGATTTCCAGCATGACTTGTCATTATGGGTGAACACAGTCATTGAGACTTTTGAGAAAAACTCATTCCACAAGCAAATAAATACAGGAAATCACAACTGTACTGTTGCTTATAATTCCAAAATTTATAACACTCTGCAAGTTCTTCCCTTGTACTAAACTAGGGCCATTTAGCTCCCCCTCACCACCACCACTTATGGCATATGGCCTTCTGCCAAGTCTCAAATTTCCTAGTGTCTCTCCATCAACTCCTCATAAAATCTTTCCTCTAAGATAAACACATTTTGAAACTCTCTCAGTATTTCATTCAAATTCATACCTTCACTGAGTGGTATTCAAGTGCCTTAAACAGTTATTGTTCCATGTGATGGGTAAACATACTACTTTACATCAGCTTTCCCTAACATAGTTCAGTCCAAATGGTTTTGTCTACAATTCCTAGCATCCTTGAACAATAGCCATGGTGGATGGGGCTGATGGACATTGTAATCTGAAACACATGGAGGCACCTATGATGGGGAAAGCTGTTGTGCATTATGTTTTTATAAGGAATTTGTTCCAATGGGCTGCAGTTCATTTCTAAGGTACAATTGCTGCTTTCTGAGTGCTGAGATCTTTCAGGACCCTGGACAGCCCATTCTGCCCTGTGTTCCTGCACCTCGATGGGAGTAATCCACAGAATCACACGCTGGCAGCCTGAATGCCTTTCTTGGGATGAAAAACATGCAAAATTAACCATTATTCTCTCAGCGAGTCACGCACCATCTAAAGCTAAAGTCTGCACAGGCATCCAATGTACTGACCATCAGTACACCTGCTGAAACTAAGAGGGTTCTTCTCAGGCTGTGTCCATACAAATCAGTGTAATAGAACAGCCCTGGTGGTATTTGAAAATATAAACATGTTATAGCAACTGCAGTTATAGTGATTACAGTAATAAAGTAACAAAGGTTACCTGTAAGACAGAAAATACCATTGTATATAACACCAGCAGCCAATTCATCTGGCAAGTCAAATTTAAACTAGAATTTAAGCTGCAATGGCATGGAATATATGCTGGAGTCTTGGCTGCTTGTAGATGTCAGTGTTGAATTTCTAAAAATGTTAGAAACTGGAGCCCAGCCGTGTGTGTGTGTGTGTGTGTGTGTGTGTGTGTGTGAGAGAGAGAGAGAGAGAGAGAGAGAGAGAGAGAGAGAGAGAGAGAGAGACTAGATTGTGGCTACTTGGTGGAAACTACTCTCGACATGCTCAGTAACATACTCTTTCTATAATCAGTCAACTGGTTCTGAAGCTGAGGTCTGCCCTTAGAACCAGATGTGGGATAAACTTTGGTTCAAATTAAGCCTTGGTAAATAATGGAAAAAGTAGAGAACTCATAGAATTAGATGTGGAAGTAGATGCACAAGATGAATGAGTAAGATTTGGATTCTGCTCCAGTCTGCTGTAATTTGAAATAATTTTGCTTCATCATGTCTGCTGGTGGCTTTCCCTGCACTGGTTTCTTTGTATATTTGTTAGGAAAATTTAAATGACCAGAATGGAGATCAATGGGTTTCTGGGCAAGAAGCCCAGTAGAAACTTTAACTACTTGGCTGCAAAATCTGTTCACATTTAAACCTATTTATTTTAGGGGTGGGGGGGATTACTCATACTTTATCACTAAAGACTAACTCGGTATTGAGAGAATTATTGTCCCCTTTCGATTTATCATCCTTTCAGTATTCCCTTGTATCTTCTAATACCTTACATTTTGAAGGATGAGTTTTGTGAGCGTGGCATTTTCCTCCTACAGTTATATTGCTGGCTATGTGCGACGTCCTTTACCAGAGGTGGCCAGCCTGCATACACCAGTTACTGAGGAGCTTGGGCAGGAGGAGGACTTGTACCCATTCTGCTTGAGGGACCCTGTGAGCAGTTTATTTAATTTATATAACACTTCTGTATGCTGTCACAATAGCCACATGGCTCTCCAGATGGTTTACACAATAATGGCACTGAGCAGGAGGTTGGACCCAACGGCCTTCTTGGCCCCTTCCAACTCTACTATTCTAGATTCTAGCTAGTCATTTAAGAATAATGAATGTATAAGAATTAGTACTTGATTGTCCTTGCTTTTCTTTTTTCTTCCTATTCGCACCTCCTACCCCTTTCTGTATCATGTCACCTAAATTCTAGGCCAGCAGGCAGGAACTGGTTTTTTAAAAACCTCTGCATAGAGCTTATTGAACTTTAGGACCTTCATGATGAACGGAGTAAAATAAAATACTACCTATAGTTACAAGTAGTAAACCCTATATAAATAAGGGTTTTATTTATTCTGCTGTAAAATGCAGCAGAAATGAGAGTGTTCCGTTTGAGGAAATTAAATGTTGGTACTGCCAAACCTTTCATGTTATATTGAGTACAGTGATATGCACTAGAACTCTCTAAACTTGTTCCGTACTTACTTACCAAGTTAACCAAGCTAACATAACATACCTAATCTTTCTTTTTGTATCTTGCATGCTACCTTCCAGTTTGTATTTGCTCTAATCATTTTAATCTGAAGTGTCACAATGAAGTTTTCTAAACAGGGTACAATGATTTAAAAAATTAAATCATTGTCATGTTACTATTGTGGACTTAAGATTATTCATAAATCATGTGTTCTGAACCGAAAAGCAGTTAGTGTTGCAGCTGCATCATTATTAGAATCACAGAAATGATACGAAGCTAGCTGTTGGGTTCTGTCCGATAAAACACCAACGCTGCTTGTGTTTTCAAGCTTGTCAGCAGAAAACAGATTAATTTCAAGACAGGGGCAACTGTGATTGGAAAGGTAATAAACCCAAGGTTAACATACTGGTAGATAATAGAACCATGGGACTTTTGGGAATTCTCAGAGATTCAATGCATTCTAAGATGATGATATCCTGCTATTTTAAAGTTCAAGGTTTAACAAGTTTGGCCGAGAAAATACTAAGATATGAGTGGCAAAGAAGCAAGAGATTTATAATCATAACCAGATAGGAGAAGCATGGCCTTTTTACATAGCTGTGATCCTGCCGATATGCTGAGGCAGAAATCAAGGCTCTGCCTCCACAAAAAACCGAAGTGGGATGCAATTTCCTTTCTTACTTTCTTGAGAATAACTGTGAACCACATACAGTACTAATTGGCTACAACATGATATTAAGAACTCTGTCCAGAAAATGGGCTGCTATTTCTCCTCTTCTTGCTTTGAGTTTAATGAAATAACTTCAAAGACCCAAATAAGGTGCTGCCTTTAGCCGAGTGCATTTGCGAGAAAACACGACCTAGTGTAGACTTCTGTGGCTCTAAACCAGAGCTGGACAACTTGTATTATTCTAGATGTTTTAGCCCCCAACTCCCAGCAGCCCTAGCCAGCATCACTGAAAAATGACGGTGGGAATTGTGGCCTTCCAGATGCTTTGGCCAACAAGGTATCTAAACTAAGGCTCAAATGTCTACAGAGGATTTTCAGTCCCAACATATCCAGTTCAAAGGTTCTCATTTTGCAGGGCTGAGGGAGGAAACCCACCTCGCCTGAGAGCTGCTGATAGTTTGTTTGAATGGACAGCACTGCGGGGGCAAGGTGGACCCATTTGTCTGACCCGGCATAAGGCAGCGGGATATGCTTCTTGGGTAGATGCTAGTACAACCACACTGCAGAGGAGCATCAATAGCAAGGGTGGGGTTCCTGTGGCCTTCCAGACATTGTTCAGTTCCAGCAGCATCAGTACCAGCCAGCAGAGCCAATGGCCAGGGAAGATGGGTAAGAGTCCAGCAACATCTGCCTATCCTTGAGGAAGAGCAAAAACATTAAAAAGCACTGGTATCATACTGAGGGCTAGATTAGAACTGTGGACAATTGCTTTCATGAAGTATTCTTTCTGTAAAGATAAGATTTGTTTCACATTGCATATTTTATACAAAAATCCAAACAAGTATGATCATTTTCTCCAGATGCATGATCCTGTTCCTATAATCCCCCCCTCCTAAATGGAGCAATGTCCCTCAGAGGTTTGAACTTCTTAATTTGGGTTCCAATAGTAGCTTAAAACATGTCTTACAGTTACTTTCCATGGAAAAAGGAAAAGAGTGTGCAATTTTAAGAGGAAAACAGGGAACTTTTGTCATCAAAGGCAATAGCTATGCTTTCTTCTGCCAGGCAAAAATGCACTAGATGGCAAGAAAAGATATAAGGAAAAGTCAGGCATCTTGGCTCTATTATAGACCATTACGGGGTTGATCTGGGATTTCTGTATGTGAGCTTGTATTCTGGATAATAGCTGAAACCAACCAATTGCTATTTTTCAAAGTGATGCACCTTGCACACGGATGGTACACTTATCATCCTTATTCATGCTAACACACAAGTGCTAGCAATACCCATGGAGCAACTGGAAAATGCTTTCCATGTATTAAATCCTGATCTATTGCTTCTGAATTTATTTCAGCACTCAAGTGACCTGTACTAAATTCATTATGAACATATATGCTGGACAAGGGCATTTCCCTCTTGGTGACGTGTTGCTGGAATTTCTTTGCCTTGGTGTTGTACTCAACAACTTCAGCAACAGTCTAAAGTGCAGGCTGTGGGAGCAATGACTTTTAAAACAGACACAGTTTTATTACCATTAATGTGGAAACTCTGGAAGTCTTGTTGGGCCTGTGAGTTGAAACCATCCTTTGAGGTTATTAGTTCCTTTCTCAAATGTGGTCTTTTGAATTATAAGGTGTAGTCATAGTAAGTAGAGATAGCTTAGCTATGCCTTCTCAAAAGCTTTACTGGTATCTTACTTTTCCTTCCAACATACAAGTTACCAAGCTTCAGAAATGAAAATGCTCTTTGTGTTCCCTTAATTCTGGAAGTTACCTGTGGCTGTTTGGATTGCTCCCCTGCCCTTTGTTATTATGTAAGCCCAGTGTCCAAATGGACAATAATGATTATATTATCGTGCTATGTATGTCCAATAGACAGTTTATTCCTCAAGACATATGCATTTGGTGTATATTTATTACCTTGCCAATAAAGATAATTACTCCAAACAAAGCTCCCCGCTTCTTTAATCAGAAATGCTTTATAGACTTGACATGCCTGGTATAAATACATTTTTCAGGACAAGGTGAGACTTGTAACATTTTTTAAAAGCTGAAGATAGGGCTTTCAATGTGCAAGTGTTTTTGGTCCACACCAAAGGCCTAGGAGCTTCAATTTTTCCCTCTGGATTCTGAGCATTTTTTAAGATGGGGCTTGAAGAACAGGCTGGCTGGGACCTGCCCTCCATGAAGCAAACCATCTCATTTCTCCTTGTCTTTCTTTTTGCTCTTCCTTTGGCTTGTCAGTTCACTGAGTTTCTTGTCCAGTCGCCGCTGAAGGTGAGCTCTTTTGGCAGGATCCAAAGACTTGTCCTTCAATCCACTCCCAGCATACAGAACACCTTCTCTGCTGATTCTTTGCCGGGCGTGTGCTTTGGCCTTCTCCCCACATCCATGGATCTGCAGGAAATAAAGCCATGGCATTAATGGGAGGCTCAAGAGAGGCTGTAGCCAGAACAGGCATTGTTGGGGCCCTCGTATCATAGCTTCAACATTGTTCTCAGTCCTTAAAACAATCAACTTTTTAATTGAAGCTCTTTTAATATTAAAATTAAATATTCCTTTCAGACAGCTGAAGCATTTTCTTCACCAACTACAATTAGATACATTAGATAAATAAAACCATACTACACTGCAAACAACAACTTGTTTGTCCTTGCTCTCCTGTAGATGGGTTGTCACCAAGGATATTGCTGAATTTTATCACCACCTAGCTCAGAATATGAATTTGTCCAGCTCGATTACATTATGAATTGAGCGTTATCTCCTCCAGCAATTTCTTCTCTGGCTTGGACTGTAAAATGAGATTCCGCATACATCATCTATAAGTATTAAAGTGTCCCTCAGGCTCTGGAAAAGCTTCCCCAGATGTTGCTGGGTTTGCTTAAGTCTTCAATGAAGTGCACAGTCTTTGCGCACTAGCACAGCTCAGGGAAGCTCCTGACTTTGAGGAGCAAGAAAGCCATGCAGTTTCTGAGTGTGTCTGGGAGGCATTCAAAGCAAACTGAATCAAACCTGAGGCAAAGTCTCAGGGCTGCACAACCTTTTTTGACCTGAGGTCCATGTTCCATTTTGGGGAAGCTCTTACGGGTTACATTCCAGGGGTGTGTGGGGCCAGAGAAAAAAGGTGATGGTCCAAAATAGTAGCATTTTTAGTTTAAAGCTCTTATACCAGTAACTAAGCTTTAGGATAGGCATTTCAACCTTTCAGAATGAGGCAAAACCTGCAGAACAACCAGGAACCATCTAATAATTGGTGGTTGGGAAAAAGTGACTGAGGCAAAGGGATGGGTGTGTGGGCTTTTGGAAAAGTGCAGACAGGGACCTCTGGAAGGCTTGATTTGGCCTCTGGGCCTGAGGTTCTGTATCCCTGATTTAAATACTGTCTGTAAGCCAGTCCCTTAAGCCCATATGAGTGTAGTTAGGACTGGGATAGAAGTCTTACAGGTCACACATCAACATAAGTTGCCTGGGTACAATTTGATACAGGGTGACTAATAAACCACATGAACCAATAAAGGAATTTAAAAGTGGGCCTAGGCTAAAACAGTTTCAGTTTCCCATCAAGGAAATAAGAGATCTAGACAAATGTTGCTTTTAACAGGTTCTTCACTGGCGTGACAATGTCCCTCTGACTTGTGCTAAGTATTTCCAAGCATTCATGCAATCCCACTGTTTTCTGTGATGGGAGAAGCCACTCCTCTCTTCAGCAGCCAATGTGCTCTCTGAAGTGCTGTGAGTTCTGTCCACTCATTCTTGAGAAGGTCTGGCCTATCAAGAGTAGATGGGGACATGGAGGGTGTGCCTCAAACAAGGCTCTGTAAGCTCAGAATCATCACAGTGCATAGCACAGGGTCAGAGGGGGGTGGGAACATGGCAGAGGTACATAAAATTATGTGTGTTACAGAGAAAGGGAATACTAGAAGGGGAGTCCCTGAGTGGGACTTCTGGGTGTGGCATATAAACTCAGTAAACAAACAAACAAACAAACCCAGGATCATCCAGCAGGGCTGAAAGGTAGCACAGATAAAAGCAAGTAACGCTTTACACAGGATAAACTATGGAGTTCACCACCTTAGGATGCCTTAATCACCACCAATGCAGATGGCTTTAAAAGGGGATTAGGACAATTCTTGAAGAATAGGCCTGAATAGATAATGACTAGTCATGATGGCTGTGTGCTACCTTTGGGATTGGAGTTAGGATGCCCTGAAGGTAGGTTTCTGGGAAGACAAGCCTGTTCTCTGATCCAGCAGAGCTCTTAAGCAAGGACTGCCTGTTCTTATAGTGAAGATGATAGTTATGAACAGTGAAAATGCATCACTGAGAATATGCCTACCCACATGAACAACATGCTGTAAATGGAATTGTGTCACACCTGGAGACTTTCCTTCAAATTTTTAAGTAATTTTCTGCAATACATGCAGCAAGTTTAACACTATAGAAATTTAACAGGATTATGTCCTTAAAAACTTGGTAGAGAGTATGGAAGGCTTTGCTGCCTATAAGCTGCCCTGAGTCCAGCTATATATTAAAAGTGTATCTGACTGTAAAAATAACATTAAACTAGATCAATGCAAAAGTATTATTAAAGTTTCTTACTGGGTAAGCATCCCCCTTTGAACCTGTCTGATAAACAAAATGCAGGTATTTCAGTTATTGGTTCAAAATTAAAAGACTGAGCTGGACTCAGCTCTGCTGCATGAAAGATAATCAGTACAGTCAGATCTCACTTGTGGCAGCTGCTGCTGTTGTTGCTTGTATAACAGAGAAGCAACACAGCTGGATTCTTCAGCTGGATAAGTTCAAAGTGCTGAGAGATATAAAAGTGACTAAGAGTAAACACATGTGACAGAAGGGGGAAAAACAAACATAACCAGAAGGGGAAAAATAAGCAGCTTCCATTAGCACAGGTAAGTAAAGATGCAGGTTTTACTATTCAGTGTCAATGCATATAGCCTCTGATCTCTGTTCAGGTTTTCTCAAGGTTTAGCAGGAACCTCAACTGCATGTAGCAACTGCCTACAGATGAACTTTATAAAGTCTTGCTAGGGAAAGGCATCCAGAGCTCCCTATACTTGATGCAGTAATAGTCCTTGCCTGACACAAGTATATTTCCATGACAGTTGTGTTTGATGTCTTTCACACACCAAACACAACTGCTATAGATGTAAGCCACCCTGAGCACTTGGCGGAAGGACGGAATATCAATGCTTGTAATAAATAAATAAAATAAATAGAAAATGCAAAGTCCTGCTGGAAAACAAGGAGTTCCTCAGAATTTGTCTTTGCTCCTGACTGTAATTCCATCACAAGAGCCCAGTCTGGGGAAGCGCATTTTGTCAAGCCTAACCAGTGAAAACTTTATTTGATCCTAGAGCAGGATTGCCTCCAGAACTGAGGGAAAGACTCTTCAAACCTGACATTAGCCATCAGTGGATCCTTTCACAGATAAGCTTCTTCATTTAAGATAGCCACCCAGAATTGTGAATGTAATTATACAGTAAAACAAAATTCAGATTGGACTCTGATGATAACAAAGCCCAGATTACTCACATTGGTTCTTGACCATTAACTTCAGCCTCTGATTTACGCACATTGCTGCCACAGTCTAACTAATGTTGCAATGCTTTGAGGCTCAGTTCAGATCTCATTCAGACTACTTTTCCTGTCAACATCTACCCAGGTCCGAATGAACGTGTGGCATCTCTGACTGTAAAGAGCAAGGGTGCCAAAAGCCCTTCAAAATTTGCTGGGGAATTGGGCACCTAGATGGTTGCTATGTGCTATATGTCCTATCAACTGAATTTGGAGAAGCATAAGATAATACAGCCTTTTGACTACTAAAATTTCATTCACTTCAATTCCCTGGAATTCAGATTCTTCCACATCTGCTTACTCCTGGGTTCCCCTATTTTCTTGCAGAGTGACAGTAACAGCTATCTTTCTTCATCCCCAGGCCAGATTTTTTAAACTTCCTCTTAGGAAGCAGACAGGTTGACTCCAAAACACCTCCCACCCTTGATTAAGCAGTATGGCCTGCACTTTGGCACAACTGCTAGCCCTAAATAAAGATCATGTAAGAGAAAGAACCAGAGAGCAAATCATAGGGAATTATGGCTCATGTGTAGAGAGCAATATACCAGATGCCAGTGTGATAAATTCTAGAAGACAGAATAATACAAGGGAATATTATGGAAGTATCTTGGAAAGAGAATTATGTTCAAGGAGGAAGGAAATTCTTACACCCTCATAATATCTGGGTCAGAAAGAACCTGTTTATGACAGGAAGTCAGGGAGAACCATGGAACACCTCAGTGTTCAAAGACTTCTAAGGGCAAAGTAAAGCTACTATAAGTAGACTGTTTTTGTGAGCACATCAAAAGGAAATATAACTAGAGAGAAAAGTGGGTGCACTAATAAAATAAAAGGGACATTTAATTAATGACTGAAATGGAACAGTGTTCCATCACACAGGCTTTGATGGAAGCTCTGTTTCATTACAGGGAAGTGATGAAATGCAGGCAGCTGATGTTTATTAAGGTGAAACAGTACAGTAGCCATTGCTTAAAAGACTTCATTTTAATATGACTTTCACATCTGATTTTTGCCCTCAAAAAATAAAAGACAAACCACTCTGAAACAGAATAAATGGGAAGAGATTTGCAGACAGGAGCAACTTGAGTATGACTGCACTAGACCAATCCAGCCTTTCCTAAAAATGTGAACATCTCATCAGTTCTGCATTAACTAGTCTAAAATTTGGGCTGGGAATGAATAAGCCTTGAACTCTACTTAAATTTGTGACATGACTGTTTGATAATTGAACTGATTTAATTCTGAAAAGAGAACATGCTCTATTCCTCAAGCCAAGCCATTTAAAATTCTGAGCAAAATCCAACATGTACAAGAGACAAGTTTATTAATCCAAACAGTATAAATCCCAATATGGTTTTAAGCAATTAGCTCTTCACTAGGGGGCTCTAAAATGGCTAACTTTAAAATTGTAGCTGAAAATAAAATTACTTTGGTGACTAGAAAAATGAAAAGAAGAAAGTATGCTCTTCCTCAAGTCAGACATATTTAAAAGCCAGCAGCAACTGCTTATGGTGCATCCCATGTGCTGGTGCTGCAACAGCTGGATCCTGGGACCAATGTGTAGGCGCTTGCAGGCTTGCTCTTCCCCGTGCCAAACAACAGTCCTGAGAGCTGCAGGCAATGGGGAGAGGAGCAAACAGGGCAGCACCTGAGCTGGCAAACCCCTTTTATTTTCCTCCTTCAATAATTTAAGTTGAATTTAAAGAGCAAACTGCACATTCTCAGAATACTGATTTTCTCTTTTCTTTTCTGTTAAAAGGGAGCTGGCAAACACCGTGTTGTTATTGTTTTGTTGTTGGTTTTTTAACAGTCTAAGATATAGAAGCAGCATGAAGGATGGAATGGTGACAGCAAGTGTGGAGAAGGGAATTGTTAATCGCTAGTCCCCACTTAGCCAAGGAGCCAACTGGGTGACTTTGGGCCAGTCACAGACTCTCAGCCCAACCTCTGTCACAGGGTGGTTTCTGAGAGGATAAGACTGAGAGGAAGAGGAGATTTATGTAAGCTGCCTTGAGTTCCTTGGAAGGAAAAAAGGTGGGATATAAATCTAGTAAGTAAATAAATAAACACAACTTTTTCCAGTTGCTAGAACCATGTGAATGGCTGTGCTATATTTTTATGGCATTTGGTTCATGCACCAATATATCCTCCTAGGAGATCACGGCCACAGATGTGGTTGGGCTGGTTGTGGCAGCCGCTCATGTGCAGGGAGAAGTGCAAGGCTTCTCAGGGCCAGAACATGCCCTTTGCCTGTATGCTAACAAACCCTTCAATTCCAATATCTGAATATCCAAAAATCTGAGATATTTCCCCATGTGCTATTCAGATCAAAAAGGGTGTAGTTAGCTTCTTTATTTACAGTCTTCTCAGATTTTCCTTGTTTTTTTGCCCTGAGATATCTCACATTTTCCCCGTGAAAAATATATCTGTAGAAGAATACTTGTAGTTTGCTCATTTTTCCATATAGAATACTTATAGTTTGCTCATTTTTCCACAGAAAATAGTCATACTTTTGCTGTATTTACTTCTATTGTATGGTAAAAAAAACAACTACTGGCAGAATGCCAGTTAATCCATAATACAAACAGTTCAGGCATTATTGATTTAAAATGTCCTCAGTTACTAGCTACAACACTTTCCCCATCAGTTCAAAAGCACAAGATGACCAACTACCTCAAACACATAAGAGGGGCATAAACAGGATGTCTGGAAGCAGTCTGTGCTGGTAAATCAATAATTATTATTTCTGGTACAGAAGATTTTTATGTCCTGCGTTAGCAGTGCATGGAGATAAGCTTGACAGATTGCACAGTGAGAGTGAAACATTCCCCTCTTGTACAGGAAAACAGGCAAAGTACATGCAAGGAATCCCTAACACCCCACCCCCTTCTTTGCTAGAACCACAGTGACAGGCACATAGCGATCTTTCGCTTTGGCTGATGACTGGAGCAAAGATCCCTGCTTACAAATCGCGCTGCATCCACATCAGCTGCTGCACTTTGGCATCTCTTACACCAGTGGGACAAGAACTGCTTGCCCAAGAGAGGAGAAAAGGCCCAGCACAATCTATCTAACCTAAAGCTACTCTTTGTGTGTGACATACAGTCAAAAGGATTGTATGCACATCTGTTAGAACAATGGGGAATGGGGCAGACAGGTGACAATATGCCACATATGCTGGATGCTTCATGCAATGCAGTGAGTGCCACTTGAAGGAGCCTTCTTGTAATGATTAGCCTATCTACTTGAGCTCTGTCTACTTTAACAACGGTTCCCCCAAGTTTCAGGCAGTGGCCTTCCCCAGTTCTGCTACTTGAGATGCTAGAGACTCAACTTGGGACCTTCCACGTACATGTACTTTATTGCTTAATGCTGAGAGATTGCCCTTTTCATGCTAGCATCAACACCCCTCCCAATATACATGAACAGAAGGTAGAGCTCTAGAAATTGTGGACTTCAGCTCCCAGAAGCCCCCAGGAGTGTGGTGAATGGTCAAGAATGCGAAGAATTCTTTTTTTCCACAAATGCTAATGGTGAACAGGGAAGTCCGTAACATCTACTTTCTGCCCAGACCTGCTCTAAAGCAACAACCCCCCACAAACATCTTACCAGACCGAGAGTGAATTGTCACAATGTGAATTGTGAAGAAAAAAGTAGAGGTGATTTAAGGTAAAGAGGAAATGACTCAGATGCTTGGTGGGAGAGAAAGGATGCAGAAGAATCACATTGTTTCAACAGTGACACATGGTTAAACACAGATCCCTTGCTCTGCAAGGTTAAATGCTTTTTAATGGCCTGGTCTGTTCATTCTAATGAAGGACACCCACACAAAAATAAAAATTAAATCTAAACCAGAGGACAATAAAGAAGAGGGGTAGGGGTGCATTTTTATTAAGTGTATGGAAATATTATTGCATTAGAGCTTGGGAAAAACAGTGAAGGGAGATTTCTTCAAACACAGTGAAGATCATAAACCATAAATAGTAGTAAAAGGGGAATAGAGAAAATGCTTAATTTTCCCTAATGAGTATAGGCAATTTAATACCACTGAGCAACTTTCTTTTTTCACTTAGAGCACAGTAGGGGAGATCTTCCCCATCATTAGGATATTAAACTGGAATCAAACATATTTCATTTTTTAAAATGATTTATGCTGTATGTGGCTTTTAAGCAATATAGCTTTTGTAAACCTGGACTTCCTTACCTCCCAGCCTCTAAAAACCCACCGTGTGTGTGTGTGCATATGCACACGTTTATAACAACAGTGAACACGAGACGGGGGCGGGGGAGGTGAAGGTTTCACTCAAAAGTGGATTGGTCCATGTTGAACTGGCCTTCACTATTTCTTCCACCTGTCATAAAGTTTCTCCAAAAGCTGAGCCTGTCAGAAGCTTTAATAGAAGACACTTAATTTACAGTATGGGAAATTCAGCCCTGAAGGCCTGGATTCAAGATTTGGTGAAGAGGGTGTCCTGTTTAAACTAGGACAGGACAAAACATACCTCTGGGATGTGGTGGCTGAGGCAGTAGAGTTTATTGCAATGCAGGCAGAGCTGTCCCAGGGTTGTTACACTGGCTTTGCACTTGGAAAAACCACATGTGTTGTCAGCTTTAATTGCAGCAGAAATCAGAGCATCGAAGTCTTCTTCAGTTGCACTTTCCACTCCAGTTTTAACAGCAGCATTCTCTAAAAGCGTAAGCAGAAAAAAACACCAAAACATTCACTCGAAAGCAATAGAGGAACACTTTCAACGCATGTTTTTAATGCGCAAAAAGGTCCCGTATGATCCAGTCCTCAGGAAAATCCATGAAGAATTTGGTCCTCATAGTTAGGAACAGAAATTCATGGACACGTTGTCTAGAAACCTATGGGCTAATTATCAGCAGAAGGGTATGGACTGACAGAAGGCTAGTTTCACATGTTCATGTATGAAAAAAAAAAAGAAAAAAATAACCTTTGCTGAAGCAAGCAGCATCACTCAGAGCAACATAAACATGATAAAGTCCCTCCAAACAAGGTTTATGCAAGATAAGCTAAACAAAGATGGGGCAAGGCATGAGAAAGGAGTAGTAAGAATGAAGAGGTTGGGAGTATTTGGTTGCCAAAAGTGCACAGGCATTGGCCCTTTGCATGTTAACACATCTGCAGCACACCTGCCTCTTCCTCTGTTATTAAACAACCCAAGATGGTAGGTTGTTCAGCATGACTTGCAGATCTGGACTGCTGGATTGTTTAGAGGTTGTTTATTGTTAGGTTTAACTGCTGGGTTAACTCCAGATTTATATAACGCATTCCACAACTTATGAAGGAATGAATTATGAGATGTGCTATAAAACTGGAAGGTGCTACATGAGTAGGTATGTATAAGCAGCACACCAACTCATGAACAACAGCCCATTGGTTTTTTAACCTGATGGGTTGTTATTACGTGCAAACCATGTGCTCCTTATGTAAACAGAGCAAGTCCATGAACCTCCCTCAGATCAAACAGGACCACTGCTCTATTTAGCCCAGTACTGTCTATTTCATGGGTCCTCAAACTACGGCCCGGGGGCCGGATCTGGCCCGCCATGCCCATTTGGACCCGCTGCGCACATGCCTGCACCCACACGCACGCCTGCTGCAGCCCAGCCCGCCTTGCTCCCCTGCGTGGGGAGGCAGCGGTTTGCTCACTCAAAGAAAACCATCTCCAAGCAAGCAAGCCGCTGCCTCGTGCGCCCACCACGCGGCGCGTGCCCACCCCTGCCTCGCCTCCCCTTGCCCCCACCTCAGCGTGCACGCCCACACGTGCCGCCCCCACACTGGCCCGCGCACATCTCTGGCACCACCTTTCCAGCCTGCACCCAGCACGGCATCTTTCAACTGGTCCCCTGGTTAAAAAGTTTGAGGACCCCTGGTCTATTTACAGTAGCTTGTCAATGTTTCACACAAGAGGTCCTGCCAGCATTGCTAGCTGAGATTCCAGAGATGCCAGGAACTGAACACCCAACCTTCTACATGCAGAGCATGTGCTCTACCAGTCAGCTATGGGCCCTCCCTGGGAAAAGTCTGCTATTAAAACTGATCTCAGAGGAAGAAAGGGAGGGTTAGGTAGGTCAAAGGGTAAGTTAAAGTGAGGGAAGTCATTGCAGGTATATGGAGTTGTGTGGCAGAAGCCTTCAAAGTTAGCAGTAAAAAACAAAAGTATGTGCATGTATGAGGCATGTGCACAAGTATACACACACACTCCTTATGGAAGCTAATGGAAGCCCTTCCTTCTATGAATTTATTTTCCTGCTGTCCCTACATGAATAGGCAATTTTGAGTGATATGGTAGCTTCAAAATTGCTCATACAGGGTTGGATCCTGGGTTAACTCTGGGTAAACTTCCTTTCCATTGATGGAAGGACTCTGCTTGTGCAAAATACATCCACCCATTTTATGGTAATCTCCCTTACACCACACCTCCCCCATTCATCAGGGTCTTCAGACCCTCTGGGTAACATTTTCAGAGGGCCACGGGGATGAAAAAGTGGGAAATTCCACTTTCATCAGCTCAGTTGCACATGATGCCCAAATCTTGATCCAGCCTGTTCAGACTGCATCATGGCTAGGGAAGCAGGTTGCCCAGTTGCCAGAAAGGCATCTGTTCTGTACACCCTCAGGCATACTATACAATTGGCCAGTGCCACAGAGCAAAGTCCAAGTTTGTACTCAAAATCATCAGTCTGATAATTTTTTATTGCTTTTTGAATGAGCATATGTTTTGTTTCCAGAAGCTGTGCCTAGTATCTTAATGCAACCCTCAAAAGAAGCGCATGGAATGAGCAAACATTGTGCTCTCAGAGCAGTGATGAAATTGTGGCTGCTGTTAAAAGTAGCTGCTTTTCCAAAGGAAAGACTGTCCCAGCCATAGCTGTGGTGCAGGAGTAGCAATAGAGCTTTAAAGGACTCCAAGTCGAAGGGATGGCTCTCCACAGGGGTTTAAATAAAAGCTGCCTTAAGAGTGAAGGGGCAACAGCAAAGTATAATCAGTCTAAATACTGTGTTAAGGCAGAAATTGCTACAGAAAGGAAATCCCCAGAGCGATGAATATCTACGTTTGCCTTTACTTTTGTGCTTTTTCCCAGTGAGTTCACGCAGACTGGTAGCCAATTCAGGATGTTGTTTTGCTTTCTCCTCTTTCTTGGCCTTCTCTCTTTGCAGCCGTTCCATGTGCAATGTTTTCAGATCCACTTTTCCCACACCAGCACCACTTCCTCTCTGTTCCTCGTGGCCATTATTTTGTTTCGGAGGGCTAGGAGGCCTGTTGGGTAACTCCTCTTGACAGGCCTTTGCATTTCCCAGAGAGAAATTTGTGGCTGCGGCTTTCCTACGAACACTTATGTACCTCTCTCTACCTTCTCCTATGCTGACATGCTGGAGACCACATTCCTCTGCCAATTGGTGAATAAGCAACCTGTCATGAGCATTTAACAATGATGGGAAATCCAGTTGCGTCTCACTACTGTCCAGGAACTCCAGTATCCTTGCTTTATGATGAGATGAGCTTTCTTTCACCTCAGGTCCCACGGCTGTGACCCTGGCCACACTCTGCACAGAACATTCAGCTGGCCTCTCCCCCATCTGTTTGGCTGGCTTTCTTCTCGGTTTCTCACCATCAGCCTTTGGGGCTGGTGAGATGTTGCATTTAAGTCTCCTTTCTTGTTCACTGAGACCCTGGGAGTTCTTGGGAGCATAGTTTTCTGGCACAATGTCATCCAGGTATTCAAAGGCTGTGCGCACTTCCCCTTGCTCATTCATATAGTCCAGCAGCCGTTTAAGGAAACTGTGGTTGCCAGTTGTCCGAGAGTCACAGATTACAGTGACATGGCGCCGGGCGCGGGTGATTGCAACATTTATTCTCCGGTCCTCAGCGAGGAATCCCACTTCACCTAGGAGTCAGAAAAACAAAAAACAGGACTCAAAAACTAACCTATGTAAAGTCGGAACAACATGTGAAGTTCTATCCTAACCATGCTTATTCAGAAACAAATTTCACTGAGTTGAATGGGACTTACTCCCAAGTGAGTGAATGTGGGATTTCAGACTTCATACATGTATCATGTACTCAGCAGACCTCATATACACCATCTCAGGAATACTGATGCTTAGGTAGATTATTTATTGCTACCACTAACCAAACAATGGTAATCAGGCCGCCCTGCTGATACAACTTGCACAAGCAGTTGTGGAATGGAGATTTAGCACTTCCAGAGGCAGCCCAAAACAGGCAGAAACACTTGCTTCTGGAACAGGGCAGGCTGGCACAGCTCCCAAGTGCCACATTCTGGAAGCAAGCATTGCTGACTGTTTGGGGGCTTGCCCACAAAAGTGCTAAGTCTCTATTCCACAAGCAGTGGGTGATGCTGGTGCAATGGAGTCAAAGGGACTGGCTGCTCACATGCACCATGCTCATGGATGGGCACTGGGCAATGCCCACTGTTTAATAAATGCAGTACAAGGTCCCATCTGAATGGCTAGGGAGACATCAAACACACTGGAATAACACTGTGTCAAGAAACCTTGATGTCAACCGGGATGCACATGGAAGAATTCTAAATCCATCAAGAAGAAAGCTTCTGAAATGAATGCAATGCATGAACAATCCATAGAAAAGTGCAAAGACACATTCATACATAAATGAAAATGAACATTTTTAACAAAAACTGGCATTTCATAAGCAGATAACAAGCAAAAGTAAGCAGCCTATGAGAGGAATACATAGTTCAGAAGTATGTTATTATTGTCTCATTATCATAACAGTAAAACTAGATGAAATTCAAGATTTCTTGGGGTGTTATATTCTGTGCATGATATCTAATTCTGCATTCATGACTGTAGAATTGCAAACCTCATCACCATAACAAGGGGCATCTAATCCTGTATTCAGAAAAAGTCAAATGTGCCTGAAGTTGTTCATAAAAATATGGAGATCATTTTCATGCAATGAAAACAGATATTATACAGCAATTATTTTATTTGTTTTTCTGATGGTAGTCATAGGATTGCTTATATTTACAGTTAAGTCTGTCAATGGAATAAAGAAATAAAAAGGAAAAAAGAAACTCCTAACTTGATTCAAAGTTTACTAGAGTGCATTTCTTGTCTTCCCATTTCAAGATTTTAAAACCACATGGGAAGGGCAACAAGAAAATGGGACCTGTGAGATATCCAACAGATATTGTTGTCAAAAAAAACTTGTCAAAAATTTCTTGATCACATCTGCTAAAAGTATTTTAAGAGACTCAGGTACATTTATGGTACCCAACTTTGCCACAGGGATTAATTAACATAATTAGCAGATTGATCATGGTCCTAAAGTTTTATAGCAAAATCTTATGATGTTGCTTTGAAGTAAGTCACACTATGTTGAATGGAATATACTTTCATGAAGCATGTACAAGATTAATTCATGAATCAGGAGGAGGTCACTTAATGCAGTGGGGCTGAGATGTGAAGACACATTTGCATTTTTGGGGATATTTTGATTTTTGGTATACTCCCATAATAGAGAAGGAACAAGAAACTATCAAGGATGAACATTCCTTGTGTGGGAGCTTTTTATTATTACTAATACCTCAAATGACACCAACACTGCATTTTAGAGAGTATGTCAAATGTGCTGGACTTTAACTGCCGAACAAACTGACAATGTGTAAAGATAGCTGATGTGTGAATCCTTCAACTGGTTGCAAGTCCTACTTATTTTGTTGCTCTGGAGTGGTCTCAATGCTGCCTCAGGGTCAGCTTTTGAGAAATCAAGGTGGAAATCCAGCTTCACTCTATTCTATTTTTAAGTAAGGAAATCAGATTTCAGTCAACAGCTGGGAGCCAGAACATGGAATTTGTGGGACTTGATGCAGCTTCATAAGCCACAGTTGCTCATCCTTGGTTCTCATCATATGATTTGGAGTGTCAGAACAGCAGGGATATCCATCTGGATGGTCCAAGCTGATTAACTAAGGCTAACAGGCATTCACATCTGCACTGGAACTAGAGCAAAGATATAGGTCAGTGCTGTATTGTTCCAGCAGAATTTAGTGACAGAAGCCCAGCACAGAGCCTGCAGATACATTCTGCTTGTTCCTAGCTGCTGATATGAGTCTAACTTTCATAAAGGTCAGAAGAACAGACAGCATATGCTATTTAAAAAAAGGCAATTAACCAGCACACGCATATAAGCGAATGGTTATAAAGACAAATACATATGAGACTTTTTCAGAAGCTATTTCTGATCTCCAATTATTTTCTCAAAGATCTGTAATAACAGATATAGCAAATGCCAAGATGAGTCAGCTCAGCTGCTAACTTGGGCAGTGACGGAGTCTACTGTTCCTCCTGCAGCAAAGCAGGAGACGAGTAGAAAAACAAACAATAAAAGCAGCTCAGGTTGGCAGGATTTGTTCCTACCATCTGGAGGAATACAAGGTTTTGGCACAAAACCTGTTGAAATATTAAGCAGTACTAATCACAAGTATGTACTTAATAGGCATAACCCAGAAAATAATCACCAAGTGCAAAGAATACAAAGATAATAACATGCTGTGATTTGCTTACTCTGTAACATGCTGGCATCTTCCACTTACTAGGCTTTGGTAGACAACCAGAAGATGGATCCCAACTATTTGGGAAAGTGAATCAATCATCCAGTCACCTTTGTTGTCAATTGCACTCTCTCTCCCTCCCTCCCTCCCTCCCTCTTTGGGAAGCTTCTGGTCAGGGAAGGGAGATGCTGGTCGCCTTCATGAGCACTGCCAGCTTTGTGCTGCGATGCCATGCTGCTGCAACAGTGTGATCGCATGGGCAAAAGCAATTGCTTGGTCATTCGTATGGCAAGCCACAAGAAGAGTGTGTTGTGCCAACGACTCATGCACCCTGCCCCATCCACACAGTCATGCTGTGTTATATGCATGTGAGTCCCTGCACCATTGTTCTGCACAGGAACAGTTCCCATAAAGTTGGAAGTGCATGTAAAAGGGGTTAGATTTCAAAGCAGGTTCCACAAAAAACAGTTCTGTCAACTTGAAAATAAAAATTATTTCCATTCTATATTATCCCTGATTATCAACTATTTACCTTTTCTATTGGACCGCACAAAGGAGAGGATAACAGCTTCCTTCTCTCTTCCTTGGAAGCCATCCACTGATTTAATCTCTAGCTCTGGATACTTGTGACCGAGGACTTCTCTTAGCATGTCCACCTGAAAAGCAAAGGCATTGCTGACAAACAAATATGGCAGGGAGAAGGGAAAGACAGTAAATATCATTGCACCCTGGAAGATCCTCTCCTTCCAAAATTAAAGCGAGAGAATATTGTGCCTCTGAGGGTGTGGCAGACACACTCACCTGGAGGTTGTAGGGAGTAATGACAGCAACATCTCTTGCTTTAACACCAGCATCTACCAAAGCCTGTATGTGCAAGCTGACAAGACGTACTTCACCTGGAAAGGGGAAAACCACTGTGAATGGTGAATGGGCCATTTAAGCTTTGAACAGCTGGAGAGATTCAACAGGAAAAGCACCCAGTTCAATAGCGATGCAGAAAGGCAGATTTTCATTCCAGCTAAGAAACACCCCTATTCTTTAAATGCATTGTGTATAAAAGAACAAGCTTACTCATTGAAGAATTATGGGCCTCCTCCTTTTATAAGCTGCTTGCCCAGTACATGGTGAGCACTGAATCCACACTCAGTAGTGCCAGACAATTTTACTGTGTGCCCATTAACCACATGATGAGGTGATCTGCTTTTAAAATCTTGCAGTGTTGGAATGATCTTTTAGCCAGGATTGTGGCAAAACAGAAAGCTACTTTAGCACAGATTTAAACATGCACCAAGCTCCTGGTGGCCCACATCTCCCCATATGAAAAAAGAGACATCCTAACCTGCTGCTTCATGAACTGGCAAAGGATACATACATAAGCGTAATGTACAATTTATATCACTCAGTCTCTTAAAAACCTGGCATTTTATACTATTTGAGACTGGAGTACTCCTGTTGGAGTCCTATACACTATCAAGGTACTTGCTGTGCAGGAAAACTGCAGTGAATAATAGTTTGCAAATATAGGCTACAGGCCTTAGAGGTTTTTCAAAAAAGGCTGTATCTAGGTAGAAGTTATGAGTTCCACACTTGGCAGATTGATACAACAAGCTCAGGCATAAGTGTTACATTACTGTTTGCAGTCATGAGAACAGCAAAGCTATTGCTCAAGATCAATATTGAAATCCCTAGTACAATGCAATTACAATGCAAGTCTCAAAGGTGAATCCTGCCTGGGAACTAATCCAGTAGAGAGAAGTTTGCATTTCTTCATTCCCGAGTGTCTTGGTCCCCCAAGGATACCAGGGCACATGATCCCCCTCCTCTCCGTTTTATCCTCAAAATAGCCCTTGTGAGGCAGGTTCGGCTGAGAGTCAGTGACTGACCTAATGCCACCCAGTGAGCATCATGACCAAATGTGCACTAGAACCCAGATCACCCAAGTCACAGTATAACTTTCGAACTACTACACCAATCTAATGTTTTGCTCTAACTCTCTCTTTCTCATCCACTCATTCATGCTCTCTGGCTCTGGTCACCAACATGAGAAGCAATTCTGTGTGGTTACCATGGTTCATGGGGTTTTTTTTTTACCATGATCTACCTGACAGACAATCAAGCAGTTGCTACTTTATCATGGTTTCCAATCTCCCCACTCACTCCTGCCACTGTTGGCACATATCCCATCATCCACTGAAATTCAGTTCCAAGGTACATCACTCCCTGCTTATGTTTTCTGCCTCTTCCTCATTGATCCACACATAGAAGCTGGAAGGCTGGAGCTGCTCCTGAAGTTGTTGCTCTTTCCAGGGGACTTTACAGTAGTTGCGTACCAGGACTATGGAAACCATGATTGTGGGTTCAGACAACAGAACAAACCATACAAAGAAACCATAGAACAAACCATTGTTTCTTATCATGATGTCTAGAGACCATACCATGACTGGATTCAGCCAACAAGGTAAACAAGGGAAATGGGAGAAAGTCACAATGTCTGAAACTAGTCCCTCTGTCCTCCCTTCACTCCCTCTATCCCATCATCTCTTCTTTCTCTCTCTCGCTCCATTCACCCATTCTCTTTTCTTTCTTCCCTCCTTCCTTTCATTCATCCATCCCCTGGGATTTCTTTCTTTCCTCCCCTCCATCCCTCCCTCCCTTCTCTCATCCATCCATCCATCCATCCATCCATCCATCCATCCTCTTTCTCTCTGGCTCTTCTCTTCTTTCTCTGCCTTCTCTCCCTCTTCTTAGTTTTTCTCCTCTCTAAAATGCAAATCAAGATATTTGTCCACTGGTTTAATCAATAGGTGGGAAAGCATCTTTGTCAAAAATTGGCTGGATTGTCATCGAGGGCTCTGTTGCCCCAGTGGTCAGTAGTGGAGGATGGACCTCATGTACTGTCCAGCTGTTTTTTGGGGAGGGTGATTTTTCCCTCTGTGCAAGTGAATGGAGGGATTGCAGGGTGGGACAAAGCTTGGCAGGTGTCCCAGACTGGCTTTGCGGGGTGCCAGATTTATAAACCCCGACCTATACATCCTCAAGCTTCCTTTCCCCTTCTGAAAAACCAACAACCCTCGTTCACTTCCCAGAGATTTTCATTCCATCGAAGAGTCCCCTTTCCTTTTCAATTTCTAGATGCAGGCTCCTTAGGCGCCTGCAATAACACATAACATCCAAACCTTTCCCCTGAACTGTATCCTCACTCCCTAGTTATTCTAATAGCTATGGTCTAATATCTCTGAAAGAATATTGCTACTGGAGCTCAGCCAGACTCAAAATCCTCATATTTATCCAGTCTAGCTAAATGCTTCATAACAGTTGTTCGGCTGATTTATAATTCTGAGACATTGTGCCCAGGGCCCTGACCTTTCTTCCTATGAGAGTTCTTGTTGTATATGCTGTCATCAAGGTTAGGCGCTTGCTGTCCCATAGTTGCAAAGTTCTGTGCCTTGTTCACTCAGAGAACTGACAAAGTGTGGTGTGCCAAAGCAATTAAAAGCAAATGCTCTCTCAGCTAAGCCACACCACAAACTGCATGGGAGACAAGAGAGTTCAGCATTTCCAGTTGACAACTCACAGCTTTGTCCATTGTTTCAGAGCCGGTGTACCAATTCAAGAGAGACATTTAAATATCAGCCTCATAAACTTACAAATGTCTGTGTAGGTCCAGGGTGTCCTGCTTCAAGCAGAAGATTCACCTTGGTCAGGGTGGGGAATTGGCAGGCCCAGGGACCAGACCTGGCCTGCCTAGAGTCCCAATTCGGCCTTCTGGGGTTCCCCATTTGGCTACACCTCCTTCCTATACCCTTTGCTCCAACCATTGAGTGCTAGGTGATTTCCCAGGTTTTGTGCAGTTTTCTCTGCATTCGAAAATGTCAAACTGACTCTCCTAAAGTAAACTGTATATGTAAACTGTCTAGTACAGCAATATTTTAGATTTCAAATAGGAACTTCCAACTCCAGTGGACAAGCCTATCATCCTTTTTCAAATAAACTTACACTTATTAATATAATAAAATTTATAAGTGGCTTACACTCATGTTTTCCTTTCTTCTTGAAAGGAAACCAGAGATGCTGTTTTCATCATTGCTCACATTTACTACCTATTCTCCTGGTTTGTTGCAGCTATTGAAGAGCTTGCTATTAAGAATTAGTTCCATAATTTTCAAAGCAGTACAAAAAATGTTTAAAATGAAAAACAACAACAACAACAGCAAAGAACTGCCCAAAACAAGCTACAACTCATGGAAGAAGCCATCTTAGGCAATCACAGGAGGTTGACATGTTATATTAATATCATGCAAGCTTATATAAGCACTCCAAGGCTTCTAGGTCCATGTCTAGACAAAAACATCTGAGAAGGTGGCTATAAGTTAAACTGCCAGAGTTGTTTTTCACAGATTTTTCTGTTTAGAAGGTGGGTGAACACATCTAAGTATCTATCTATGCCAGCAAGAGTGTGTTTAGCACTGCACTCTTAACTGTAAATAAATTCCATGGAACTTAGTAGGGCTTATTTCTGAGTAAATGTACATATGATCAGACTGTAACATGCATATTTGCCGAGTTGAGGCAACCAAAATACAGATTTGACTTGCACTTTCTGTGTTACTAGACTTTGTAGCAAAAACAGAATGAAGCAAATTGGAATGGGGGAAGAGTATCTTTTCCACCAGCAAGGAGTTTCCAGTAGCAGAGTTTTGCTCAAAATGCTCTTGCTGAAAGAAGATGGGAGGCCAATTCCCCATTTCTCTGAAGCCCCCATGGCTGCCCCCTTCACTGCAAGGACCCCATTGTTTTCAAGAAACATATGGGTCTTCAGGGGGAAGGGGAATCATCAACAACCTTGATTCAGTCACTGCATCAAGACCCTCTTGCTGGGAAAATAATCCCTTACATGAGTATCCCTTTTAGATTAATTGTGGTTCAGTAAGCAATGAGATCAACAATTCCCCACTTGCTGTGTGTTGTCCACATCTCACAGTTTCATGAGATGTGAGAACACATGATTTCTGAACTCTGAGCCTTGAACTCTGAACTCCTTCCATCTTCTCTCTCTCCTTCTCTCTTACCCTGTTAAGTACTGCATTTTTTATACTTCTTTATTTATTTATTTAAAACATTTTTATGCCGCCCCCATTGCAACAAAGCCTCGGGGCGGCTCACAGCAAGAACAAAATTATACAATAAAAATATTAAAACCCGGTGCATCTTGGCTTAAAAAATTTAAAATCCTACAAATAACCAATAAATTAACACTTAAAATAAGTTTTAAATAAAAAGGTCTTAGCTTGGCGCCGAAAAACAAATAACGACGGAACATTGTGGCCTAGATAATGAGTACAAATCTCCAATGGGCCAATGGTAATGAGTAAATAGTTGGAAATAACAAATTCCACAGGAGTGGGCAACACGTAGCTATGTGCTACTAGCCCTTGACAGCCCCATTTTTTACTTTTCCTTAAAAAAAATAGAAAAAAATGCTGTTGGCCTCCATTTAGTAGCAAGTAGGCACAGAGGTGTACAAAGGATACCTTTAGCTTGTCACACACACACCCCTCCCCCTTACCCCCAGCCTTCCTTTGCAGAATGGGGTGATGGCAGGGGGAATATGGCCAGTGGCAGATGCAGAGGAGCAGGGAGCACCACTGGACTGCCTGACACTGCCTACCCTGAAATATAAAGTTCTAGAAGTTCACGATGCCTTCTTCTTTTAGGTTGTTCCTAGCAATTGGATACAAGAGATAAATGCATTTAAGCAGCATCACCATACTGCAGGAACCGACAGGATGGTTTAGCAAGCCCTCCCCCTCACCCCATCTTAGAACTATAACAAATATCTAAAATGTGACAGTGGGATGTTTTCCTGCTATGTATGGATATTATAATTTCTTCCCGTATGTACCAGGTAAGAGGCTGGATCTAATAGTACCAAGCACCTCAGTAATTCTCTGGTATTACAACCATATGAAGCTCAGCAGGGGCTGACCCTGCACTACCATATGTATGATGAACTTTGAAAGGTGAAGGCTAGGAGGGGAAAAAGCATATTTCATCCCACCCCCTCTTCCAACCTTACAGTGGATACAAACATAGTAGTAGTACCTTGATTTCCTTTAGACTGTTCATCCTCTGCTTCCATCTCAAATAAGCCACAGCCAGCTGTATCTATGAGCAGCAATGGAATACTAGTTTCGTCTGTGGGGGTCACTCCTGGCAAGTCCCTGGCAAGTCATTACAAAGAAAAATGAGGTGAGAACACTCCACTCGCACACATTCCTGCTTCAATTTTATCCTGAATAGTCCACAAAATTTTACATTCAAGCCATGGAGCAGCAGAAATCTCAGTTCTCATGGATAATGCAAGCTAGTGTAGAAACCCATATGGGGTCATTTAGAAATGTTATTAGGCCAGGTGCAAAGAGGAGAATGGGTCAGGTCACCACAGAGCTGGGGGACGGGGCGGAGTGGGGCGGGCACTTATCTGTAGGACAAAGACATGGTCATAAGGTCTGAAGGTGACTTTGGTGAGTAGGCAGGTTTGTGCAGAAAGAGGATGAATGCTCAATTCCCAAATTACGAACAGCTTTGAAGATGAGCACCAGCATGTTAAATTGTGCTCTGAAATGGACTGGCAGCCAGTAAAGTAGTGTAAGAACCATAAAAAAATGTTGCTGAGAAGCTGGTCCCAGTAAATTATTATTATTTATTTAAAGCTTTTATATTCCACCCTTTGCAATGTCCCAGGGTGGCAATACCATACAATAAATAAATAGCCTAGCAGTTTACTTTGAACTAGCTGTAGTTTCTGTGGAAGCTTCCAAAGAGAGTTCCACATCCAGTGCATTGCAGTAGTCTATCTTCTTAAGTTTTTGATGCCAGATAAATACAGTTTTATTGGCAACTAACACAGCAAGCCTATGGCTGCCAGGCAGTATCTAGGTGGCTGTAAGTTTTTCTGGAGACCCAACAATGAGGTCAGTAAAACACTTCAACTACATAGCTGAATCTCTGAGCCTGGGGATTCTCTCCCCTCTCAAAGTTGATGCAGAAAGAAGCATGCTTCATGAACCACCTGTTGTGAAGTACAGAAATTTAAACAAAGAAACCATGCCAGCTGTGTCTCTGATATTGCAAGAGCGAACCCAGAGACAGGGTTAGAGGAATGGGGAGAGCTGCACAGGGAGGAGACAGGCACCACCACAGTAGAAAGCATCCTGGCGGCACCTCAGCCTTCCTCCCTTGTGCTCAGAGGCTCAACACACTGATGGCTGAAACTGGCTGTGTGAGTATTTGTCAGGGCTGGAGGACTGTGAAGACAACTTTGACCTCCATGCTCCTTCCACCCTACATAGGATGCCCATAATCCCCTAAATTCAGGCGGTTATGGGCATTCACCTTGGATTATAGGACAGAATCCTATACCTGCTTACCTGGGAATAAGCCTCACTTAAATCAGTGGGCCATACTTCTGAGTACGTTCAGGATTTGCTGTTAGCAGGACTGGCCCTACCAACAGGCAAAGTGAAATCCCCCCCACCCCCCATGTTTCTGGGTCCCTGCAAGATGGCTAGGATCAAGCTAAACAAGGAATTCTTCATGGATAAATGGAACAAAAAGAAAAAAGGCAGGGGGATCTGTGCATAAAGCCATAGTACTCCTTATAGCAAATAATTATCTATGGTCACACTTCATTTCTTTGGGTTTTAGAGGCCCATGTCTTTAGCCCTATGGGAAGTGGAGGCAGGTGACACAACAGTGTAGATGCTGTTTGCTGCATCTATTGATCTGAAATTAAATATTTCTTTCCAGCTAATGCTGTGTATATCCAAGTATAGAAAGCTCATTGCCTTGGGTTGGTGGGGGATAGGGACCATTTGCAGATTAGCCCAAGGCAGCAAAATAGTTTAAGCCAGCACTGCATGTTAGACTGTAAGTCAACCCCCATTGATCTGGCTCATTAATTTTCTCACCTCAAGGTTTCTACTTCTTCAGTATTTGGCATAATAAAATAATCTTATCTCACTACAAACATGCTTTCATAGTTTTAAATACAGCATTATGTGAAAACAAACAGGAATTTAAAAACTACCCAGCAGCCTGACAAGAACATAAAGCAGAATGTTTGGGCTCCTCTTCCCCTTCAAAAGCCCCAACTAATCTGTAGTACCAAGCAAGATACAGATGGTGGGAGATGAAATCTCCTTTAAATAATGCCAAGAATAATAGATATAGGCTTACACAGTGTAGCTGTTTGTACATTTAGTACACTGAAGCAAAGTACCTTTTGATGTATTACAAGAGACAATGTTGTGACAGCTGTAATATTAGAAAAAGGCACAATGCACAGTCCCGATGCAAGATCCTGCTTTAACATTACTTTTGCACTTAAAAAGAAACCATATTAATAATCTGTGCTGGAAAGCCAAAGTTTCTCCTTGCATTCATAACTGCTAAACAGCTAATGAAAGCAGTTTTAAAGGATCCCATTTTCTTTTCAAGTTTATGGGGCCTAGATTTACCAGTTTCCGTGGAAACACCATAGAATACAGCAGTTCGGCTTTTTACTTGGTCACAAATGAAATCAATCGCTGACAAGGACTTAACAACACAGGGATCAGGGCTGCCTGAGTTATGTGGACTTATTTCATTATCTTTGTCTTCAGCTTGAAGCAAAGCTACTCCAGCAAGACATGCTTGAAAACAGATTCCATGGATTGCAACTGGATTGATTGCCAAGCAAGCATGTTTGGAGTTGTGGTCCAAGTCTCCCTTCAGATTAAAATCTTCAAAAGCTAGCATCTCTTTCCTTTTGAGAGACATGCACAGGATGACAGAAAATGTTGACATGACTCTTATGCTTCTACTCCGGCACTTTTCTTAATGAGAAGCAAATTTAGATTACATCTTAGGGTACACAGTCCTATCTGTGCTTAGACAGAAAAAAGGTCCTACAATTCCCAGCATACTGTTGCTAACAATGCTGCATCTGATGCACCAAGAACCACACGTGTGTATACGGTAAGCACTCTAAGCAAGATATTATTTTAATTACATAACAAGAAGCAGCACCTGTGCTTTTTCTTTATTTTATGTCTGTGCTTTATTTAATTACAGGTGCAGTTGTGTAATTTATGCCACAGCATGTTTGGGAGGGAAGTTTACTCATACCTCTTTCTTCATTCCTAGTAGAGTACTTGAGAAAATCGCTCTGCATACCCCCCGCCCCAGTATGTGGCTTGGAAACCTAGGGGCAAAAAAGCTTCCTCTGGCATAGCATGTAGTTTGAGAACACACAATTCCCCATTAGCCATGCTGGCTGGGAGCTATCTGCAGCCCAATACACCTGAAGGGCACCAGGCTGGGGAAGGCTGACATAATGCAGGTGATGTGCTTTGAATGTTGGAAAGTACTTACGAAAGCCTCAGAATTATTATGACTAATTTGATAATCAACAAGGAAGAAACATCTAGTCATTGCTTCTCCTTTGTCTCTCTTGGCTGGAGAGCGCCCTCCTCCTTTTCACTAGGGAACATTATTCAGACTGTCAAAATGTGTTGCAACTTTCATGTGATTATTATCTCTTCAAAATGGTACATAACTGTATCGGGGCCTTGTGCATCTTTCCCAAACAGGTTCAGCAGAAGCCACAGCCTCAAGATCCTTGCATTTTCCTACCTTTATACTCCTGGGTCTATAGCAACCTCCTATATGAACTGTCTTCTTCAGGGAAATAAAGGTATAATTAAGATTCTTCTTTGCTCTTCCTGGACAGCAGTACGCTTACTTGCACTTGCTGCAGCTCTCGGGAACAGGCTTAATTTGAGTGATTTTGTGAACATCACTTTTGAAGATAATTAGCTGTACGAATCTTCCAGTGGAAAGAAAAAAAACTCTCGCTCTTCTCTGAAGGAGGCCAGGCCTGGAAGAACATGCTTGTGAAGCTCTAGTGCTTATTTAAATGCTAAAGCCAGAACAGCAGAGTTAACCCTTGCATTGCTGCATATTTCAGCTTAAGCCAGATATATGCTGAGCCTAACTCTCAGTCCTAGGAACCAGCTTCCAGTCCCAAGTATGTGGAAACTGACTGTGGTTCTTTATTGCTTGGGGAAATCACACTAAAGATGGTTTAGTGCAATGTGCATGAGCTGGAAGGAACCCAAGGGAGCCTTGGGCTTATGCGCTTCCCCCATCCCATGTGGTCAGGAAGACTGGGAATTGAGAAGCTGTTGCTTCTGTTCTTAGTTAAGACCACTGGATACTGCCTTATATGGAGTCAGAGTGCAAGTCCAACTAGCTCAGCTCATTGTCAACACCGACTGGCAGGTTTCAGCCAGGATTCTTTCTTAGCACTATTTGGAGCTGTGAGGGACTGAATGTGGGGTCTTCTGCTTGCAAAGTATGTGCTCTTCTACTGACCTATGGCTCCATCCCCACTCTCATGTTAAATGGACCCTGATTTGTGGCTAACATTAACTACAGTTAGTTTAGAAACCAGCTTCAGGAACTAAGGTTTGAAGTTGGCTTATTTTAAACTAACCTTAATTAATGTTAAGCACAGTTTGTCAGTCCAGGTAACAAATTAAACTGTGGTTAACTAAAAGCAGGAGTGAATGCTTGAAAGCTCTTCCTGGCTGTGTGCATGAGACTGAGGGCTTGCTTGGGCACACTATGATGTGTGCTCTGAGATCTTCTCTCTCAATGATTATTTCAAAACTGATGTTAAATCCTTGATATGTAGTTCCTCCAACTGCCTTTGCAAGCTCTCTGGTAGCTTTCCTGCATTCCCCCAAATGACCTTTCATTTTTTCTGTCTTTAAAGTAAGCACTGCTGATTATTTCTGTATAAATATTTCAGCATTCCCAGACTTTTCTTGTTCTGCTGCATCACCTCAGCTGCAGAGCAGCCCACACACTTTGGTCAAAGGACAGTGACAATAGCTGCATGGCACAGAGCCTTTTCCAATTATGAGCTGTTTTGAATTCTATTTTGTATATTGAAAATGGTTTCATCTACAGAGAACCTCAAATATAAACGCTGCTTAATCTCCGTTTTCAAGTAGATTCACATGAAATTCCCACGGAAAGAAGCTGCTGTGATAATACAGTGGGTTTACTGCATCATCAGTAATAATTCAAGGATGAAAGGGAGTGCGTTGGAAACACTCTGAGGTCTAAAATATGAAGCATGTGCACATCATAACAGGAAGAGGGCTTGGCTATTCATGCAGGTGGTGCTGGACTGAGAGAAAATGCAAGATTAATGAGACACCATAATTTGCTGAGCTTTGCACTATCTTGATTTTAGTGCACAGCATTCCCCATTCCTCACATAATCCTAAATTCCTAATATGAGAAAAATCTGGGGACAAAATATAAGGAAGGGATTTCTGGGGGCAGGATAATGAAGGTTCTTTAGACCTGAATGAGCAAGAGTTAGCAGCTCTTATATGGTATGGAGCCAAATATTCCCTTTTAGATTCATGAATAATATGTTTCCATCTATGTGCATTAAAGACTGAATTCCCAGAACACCTCAGAACTGGTAGATTTTAGAGTAATCTGAGCTTTCATATCTTCAGGCTCAGAGGTAGCAGTGAAGAATCAGCAAAAAAGGGCCTTAAGATATTTCAAGTGGTGTAGCCTTGTCTCCACTGGTTACTTCCAGAGATTAGGCAGCAGTTGTACTTACATGGAGTGGAAGGCTACCCCATTTTGGGCCGTTCAAAATGCAACCAGATTCTTTAATCTCAGTCACCTTTTACTGCACAGCCAGTGTGGAGTAGTGGTTAAGGGTGCAGGATGGGGACACAGGAGCTAATTGGGTGACTCTATGTCAGTCAGAGACTCCCAGCCCAACCTACCTCACAGGATTGTTGTTGTGAGGATAGGATTGAGAAGAAAAATATGTAAGCCACCCTGAATTTCTTGAAAGGAAAAAAGTAAGATAAAATATAATAAATGATTAAATAAACTTGCATAAATTTGAATTTGTGATGGCAGCCAAATGATTTTTCATGATTGATACCAAGTGTCTTTTGCAGTTTGTCAGGGAGGTAGTAAATATAGTTCCTCATCCATGTCCTGCCCTAATTACCTCACCATTCTGTTCCTGAAAGTAAAAAAAGCAGTCGCGCAAAACAGGAGCTTATTTTACCCTTCTGAATGAGCAGTTGGTCTTACACACACAGTCATACTGTTACAGATTTCTTCACTGTGTGCTCTTTTTCAACGGATAGGTAATCCTTTAGAGTGGCTCCACACTTTGCCCTACCCTTGACTAATTCATCACATTACAGAGATGTTTCTCCCCATTAAAAAAAAAAAAAGCACAGCTGAGGACAACATTGGCAGGTTGGCATCCTTGGGTATTTGCTGGGACCCCAGAGCAACTGACATCTGGTTTGGGCCCTCTGATCAGCCTTTTAGATTTACCACAATGCCCCCAACACAGCGATGCTCTGTGGCCGCTACTGCCAAGGAAGCTGTTGCAGGTTCACTTGATTCCTACCAGAGGCCTCCTCTGCTGAGAGCCCCCCATTGGACACTACAGAACTGAGTGCAAGCGCCTTCTGTCCGTCCGTCCTTCCAGGGGTCAGACTAGATGGTCTGGGAGACCCCTTCTGACTCACTCTGTTTCTCTGTTTCCTTTTTCTCCCCAGTTGAATGCAAAAGAGCAGACTAATCATGGGTTGCAGTTTCATGATTTCACCTAGGTTTCTACATGACAACCCCACTGCATGTACTTGAAATGGGATCTTCTCAACCCTAGTTACTGAGCTATTGCATTATTTCTGTGGTACTCAATCTCACTTCCTCCACATTAACTAACAAACACAGAGGAATAACTGGGATGCCTTACCTTGCACTGTGAATACAAGAGGAACATAAAGCAGTTTTGTATGTACAGTTACCTGAAAGGTATGTGCATAGTACACATTTGCATTATTTCATGATATAGTCACATCTACCAATAATAGCAGGGGCATAGAAGCTCAGGCCTGGGGCTCAAAACTGGCCCTGTGGATACCCCATTAGCTCATGTCCCCTTCCTTGGCTGCACTTCCTTCCCTCCACTGTTGGGCCGTTTTTCAGCTTGTAAGGAATGTTTTCCCTGCTCTAAAATGTTCAACTGCCTCTCCCACTACTAAATTACTGGCAGTAAGAGCTTAAGCTGATATTTGTTGCCTTTTCCCTTCAGCCTTGCTTACCAAAGGAATGCCACCTGAAACAGCCTTTCCATGATGCAATCAGCCCTTGGACTGAAAGAGGTGCTGTTCCCCCATGCTCTAGAATCATCCTTCCCAGGACATAGCCATAACTCAGTTAACATTTATCCAATGCGTGCAAACCTGTCGTTACCTATTCCTACTCCTGACACCTGCAAACACCAACAGGAATTTTATTCTTTCACTTTCCAGGCACCAATTTCTTTCTGCCTGCTCCAAAGGTTACAAAACAGGCATTAAATCCATTGTTTTCAAAAGACGCATAAAATAAAACCAGAAATAACTATGATGCAGACTGTTTTTAAAAGTAACAATGGACTGTATGTAGGCATAAGAAAAGCACAGCAGCTACTGGTGTAAGCTAGCTGTATAATTACTCTAGGAGGAGAAAAAGGATCCTTGAAGAACTGAATGAGCGAATATTCAAATGGTCACATATTAAATATTAGAGCACATACTGGAAATGCCAATTCTACTGAATGGAAAAGGTGAGGAAGTGGGTATGAGAGAGGGTAGGGGCCACTGCATTTCTGGATTTGGCAACAGAGGAAACTGTCTGCTTGTTAATATTGTGTGAAATGCTTTGTCCCCATATACAGTTAACAGCCTTTTCAATTATCACCTAATTCAAAAATTCAAACCCTATTTCCTTTTGATTAAAAAAATGTCATTAGCATTAGGACACAGAAAGGAAATTTATTAAAAGTGTGAGTCGCTTTTCCAATCACGTAGGCCAAGGGAGTTCAGAGCTGATTAAAATGATAAAACTAAAATATCATGGATATGAAGGCTAGCCCCCTTTCCTTTCATTAGTTAAGTGAAAATGGGAAGATGGCCTGGGTTTGCTAAGATGAACATCATTGCAATGCCAACAATATTTTTCCTTCCTACCTTTCCTCTGGGAAAGGTTTTTGGCAGGGGTAGATCGTAAACATAGTGTGCCCAGTGAACCCACTGAATGTAGTGTTGCCTACTTCTGAGTAATAATGTGTAGGGTCAGGCTGTGTGGGAACATTGAATTAAATTAGAATATTTTAATATTTATCCTTAACTTTCTCACTGTCATCTGTAGAGAACAGATAAGCAATGAGAAAAGAGGACAAGACTGATCATCGGGAGCCATGTGTTAATGTAAATGTGTTAATATTACATTTAATCCTTGTAAACTGCCCAGAAAGCTTTAGCTATTAGGCAGGACAGAAATATAACACATAAAATGAAAAGGAACTCTTCATGTCTCTGGATACAATCTAGTCAATCCCCCATTCCTTCCCCATTCTTGCCTTCAACACAAGAAAGAATGTTTGTGTGGGAAAGTATTGACTTGCACATGTGAAACCTCATTTTTGTAGCCTGATTTATGTGGGAATCCAAGAGATCTAGAAGGGATCCAAGATCTCCCCTTTGTTATCCTATAATATGGTGATTGCAAAAGAGAATATTTCAGGAGAAGAGGCTGACATAGAGCTCAATGAAGTCAATAAGAATTTATACAGCCTTCAACTAGCTACTGCATCAGATCCTAATGGCACTGCTAACATCTTCCTTCATTCAAAGCAACAATTCATTTTTACTGTTGACAATTTCTTTCATAGCCTTTCAAAAGTATTTCACTGCTATTGATGTCAATAATGCATAATGAAATTATCTTCTCGGTGATTTAAATCTATTGTGTGATCGCCTGAAAAAAATCTATATTATCTTGGTAGAAGTCTTCCCTGAATACTAACTACCCAAGATGATTGTGGAATGGGGCAGAGGGAGCCCTGCATTCTTTATATGAATATTAATTGCCAATTTCCCTGTCCTCCTGTAAACAACTCGGCGGGGAAAAAGCAAGCAAACAAGTACAGGCTACTTACTTCAGTAAATGCTGCGCAACAGAGCAATGCGCTGAGAGGCAGCCATTGTACATCTCGGTGGAAGCCCACTGCATTATGGCCTGGTGCATTCGGTACTGCACAGTGAGCATCTTCACAACACGGTCACCATATTGCTGAATCAGCCGCTCCATTAAGCTGAGGGAAAGACCCTTCAGGGCAGCTCTGGAACAAGAGAGCAATTAAGAAGGTACATTCGCTAGGAAGATCATAAAGAGGGTTATCAGCAGCTTCATCCTTGTGAGGTCCTGTCAGAATTAGAGAAAGTTTTACGACTTTTATTATAAACAGGGGTTATGAACCCTCAGAGAGCATCTGGATCTTGCCCACCGCTTGTTGTACCAGTGTTCTTCCCCTTCATTAAGTCACAATGGGACCAAGATGCACATACACACACCTAAAATTCAGCCAGTTTACTCCAAAATAACACACACTAGTCAATGTTCCTGCCTCCCTGTAACAAGATGCTTACATTCTATCAGAATGGGATTTAAGCAATCCAAAGAGTATACTGAACTGTAGCTTATTTCTAAAGGCAGTCTTCCCCAAACTAATGCCCAGAAGACATGTTGGGCTAGAACTTACATCACCTTCACTCAGCAATGGTCATGGTAGCTAGAGAGGATTAGAGTTGTAGTTCACAAAGCAAAGCAGCAGGAAATATATCCTAGCCCAAAATCAAGAAGCAGTAATCCAAATGGAGAAAGTAATCCGGTGAAGATGAATAATGTCCAGCAAGTCTATTAACACTGATTTTCTATACAGACTACAATCATGGGGTGGGTTTGCATGTCACAACAAACAACCTTGCACAAACAGTTGATAACCTCTTACCATGATCTATCCAACAGGCAATCAAGTGATTTCTATGTTAGCATAGCTACCATCCTTCTTCCTTAAACCTCCCACGCATCCCTCCCATCAGCCACCACATCTGAAATTCAATCTTCAAGGGTATAACTTCTTGCCTACAGTCCCTACTTCTTTGCCATTGGCCCACACAGTTCCCTCCCCCACCATATGTCTCAGGCATCCCTCTGTCTCCTACACTATGCCTATAGCCAGTGTTGTCTTCTTCACTGCACTGCCACCCCATGAAGTGCCCTCTCCCACCTTCTCCAGACTACCATATACACCCACTAAGAGGAGCTGCACTTGTCAACAGGAAGCCCATCCAGTCACTGATCCTGGGTGACCAGGCTTTCACTTTGATGGCATCCTATCATTTCTTCAGAAGGGAAGAATCTCAACCTCTGCACAGCATGAGTTATGAGAACTCCATGCATTACCACACACCTGGGAGAACTCAGAATTACTGCTGCATTGTGTAGAAGAGCAGTGCCAGATGTGCTTCCCTGAGCCCTATCCTTCCAGAGACTGAGGAAGGAGGGGATGAGGACTTTCCGGGTGGCAACTGGAAAGCACAAACTTGGGGAGGTTGGGATGCCACTTTTAGCAGTTTAGCAGGCATGACATCCCTATGGCTGAGGAGCAGCTGTGCCAGTTTCTCTTAAAAGGCCATGGTTTTGGGGGCCTCCTCAGAGTGGTGGTTGTGTGTTATGACCTCCCCAAACTTCTTCTCACTGGTGCGCAGTTTATCCTTGTGCTGAAGCCCCTTTGTTTAAGATGCTCCAAAACCATGGGAAGAATGTGCCCCATTCTTCATTTCAGAAGCAGAAGCAGGACTGTGCTGGCTGGTCTCTGTAGCAGTTGGGGTTTTCTCCAAGGATGAATGCTGAGAAGGAGCCTGGGGGATTGCCATGCTTCAGGAGATGAGACTGGGTCTTCGGGAATGGATGTTAACATCCTTCCCACTGTCCATTCTACCTGGTAGAGTAAGCAAGGATGGAATGTTTTCTTCCAGGAATAGCTTTCCAGAGGCAGTTGCCCTCTGTAGCTCCCTGGGAATGTTGATAGGCTAATTCTGAGAAAGTGCTTGGACTACAGACATACAGACTAGAAGAAGGTGTGTTGCAGACAACATATGGGTGAAAGTAAGTAAAAAAGGCAGAGTGGAGGACTAGGTTTTTCAGGCGACATCTTCGTTTTTAATGTCCCATCTGTTGCCCAGGTGTCCCTGATTTGAAGAAACAACTTTAAAGACAGGGGAGAGATACTTTTGCCTGAAAATAAAAGGCAGGACAACTCCAAGAATGGAGTTTGTAAGAACCAGAGCAGGTAGATACAGTATGGCTGACTTGAAGGTCTCTGCTTTGGGCAGCACAGTATAATTTTCTGCTGCTGCTGCTGCTGCTACAAAATAAAAACAGGTAGACATCTGAAGGAAGGAAAGAAAGCCTGAGCTTGGGAGAGGAATGCAGCCTGTAGGAGTGAGGCAGATGGTAACATGTTCTTCTAGGCAGAGCAGAATAGTACAGGATGGGTGACTAGAGAGGCTTGTGCAGGGGTTTAGAAAACATTCTTATTGTGATTTCAAAGGACCAAATGTACCACATTAAAATACCATGATTGGGTTTGGACAATACAAAAAACCATGGTTAAAAACTACCATGGCTTGTCATGTCATGCAAATCCAGCCATACAGTCATTAAGCAACAAACTGTACCATGATTGTAAAATCAAGCTATACAATCATATAATTCAATACCAAATGAATGTCAACCTTGAGTATTATACTCTCAGTTTACTTGTCCAAGTGATTTATTGCTTTTTAGAATTATAATCTAGCACATCTGGAGGGCAGCAGTTTGGGGCAGGCTGCTCAATCATAGATAGGGACTGAGTCGCTACTATTCTATACAGTGCCAAATTTTCAGCTGATAATACATAAATGTTAAATGAATTAGCCTCAGAAGTCACAAGTTCTTGAACTACTTTCAACTCTGAAACTAAACATGTCTGGCTTTGACCAAGATTTAGAGGGAAGAATACTTGGTAATAGCTCTATGGAAAAATGGTGGGATACAAAAGGTAAAGAAAAAGAAGGATTACAGCAGGATTTAAAAATAGCAAAGCTCTGTACTGCTGCATGATCCGCTGGACAGTGTCTTAATAGATAAACCAAAATGTTAATGACACTGATTCAGTAAAACTACACATCCACATAATATGCATGTGTATACATAAAGCTTTTGATTTATTATTTAACTTATTGTTAACACTGTGGATATGGCCTGTCAGAAAGCAGTACAGTTCCTCTTTCATATACTCCTGCTCAGATATTTTAAATGCTTTTGAATTTAAAAGCTACCTTGCAATTTAGCAACCATTAAAATAGTGACAGAAGGACAAAAATGGATAGCTGGTAGCTGTATAATCTGGTGCAGGCAGCACCTCTGAGAGAGCAGCCTCACCTACTTGAGAAATCCCTTAAAAATCCATTCAGTGAAATAAGGAGCAAGTTACACAGTTAAAAACCTTTGTTTTAATGCCAGACAGTAAATATTCTAGTTTTCTTTTTAAGGGAAACTCATAAAATGTAAGAGAGGCAATAAAGCTCACCATGGGCCTCAAATAAAATTTGTGTATACATGAACACTGTTATTTCCAGAGCATTATGCAATTCACTGCAGGGTCTATAACAGACTATATGGTTAACTAATTATGAAGATTTTTTTACCTGTTAATGAAATTTGATATTATTTCATTCTTAGTTATTGTCAATAGCTGCACATTTGAAAAGGAAAGGGAGAGAAGAAACATTCTCCTTTGGTAGATTCTTTGGTTTCAAAATGTCTAGCATGTGCAACAACATAAACTCTGGCTGTGGGTTATACCAAAAACACATTGCTTCATGCATTAGCATTAGGTATAAGTTATGAAATTTTACTCATCTGAATCCTCCCACCCATGCTTCATTCTGTGGTGCTGAATTATATGGTCTTGTTTCTAAAGTGGAACTGATTTGCTAGGAATTCTTCACTGGTCCTTTTTTATTTCTGTATCTTGTACAGAGCACTATGCATATACAGTTTTAATTCAGTTCTGTTTTTTCCCTCACTCTGCATTACTAATGTGCATTAGAGTATAAATAAACATGTAAAATAGCTAAATAAATCTTTTTGCATGATGTTTTTCTGAATGTGCACAAAAACAATTGTAGCACAATCACAGAACGTTGGCCTAGAAAAACTTGGATTCGGATCCCCCATCTGCTGTGTGGCTCAGTAGGAACTCCTAACTCTCAGCCCACACAGGGTTGTTGTAAAGGTATTTTCTGAAACCTTGAACACTTTGGATAAAAATTACAAATGGATGGATAGACAGACAGATTAAGTTTGCAATGCTCTACGTACACATCAATAGTGAAAAAGACATGTAGGAACTGTGCGAGCTTCACTTCTAGAATTAATCCTATAACTGATCTTTGTTGAACTCAAGCGAAGAATGCAAAGAATAATCCCCCAGGAAACAATACAATAATAGAACAGGGGAGATCTGCTAATTTAAAGGGCAGAGCTGCTACATGGATTATTTTTAAATCAAGTCTGTGCTGAACCTCACTGATTTAAATTACGCATTGTATAGAGGAAGTATTTAACAAGGAAGCTATTTGTTAAATGAAAAAAAAAAAAAATAACAGCAGCCTATTAGAAAAGAAACAGTCATTCTAAGTGGAGTCTAGGCAGTCCCTGGGTTCCATCACAATTAAGGACACAATAAATCCAGGACACAATAAATTATGAAAAGCTATTTGGATTTTATTCCATTAGCCTCAGAAGTATTTCCTTCAGTCCTCTGTCAGTAGTGACTATGCCGTGTCATGAAAGTGTCTCTTCTCAGGCCAGGAATGTTTATTCAAGAAGGTCCATAAAACTCATCAAGAGGCATTTTAAGCAGTTCAGAATGTTGCAGGAATGGTCAATAGCCATTTACAGCTACCCTTTTACTTAATTATTATTTTTTAACTCTCCAGTCGGCTGGTGACAACATATCAAGATTCTATTTGTTTATCACACGCGTAGATGGTGGTGCCTGGAGGTCCCTCGTGACAGATGAAGTACTACCACCCATTCCTTCCCTTCACTGCAGACTGAGATAACTGTGGTGACAAGTGTTGCATCTAAAACTCCTTTTGCACTTTGCCATGTGTACCATCTAGTATCTTATATAGTCTTTTATATGTTTAAAACATTTCCATAGCACCTTTTGATTCAAAAATTTTGAAGGCAGCTTATGACAATGAGACTGCAATAAAAGATGTG